TGTTCTCAGTTTTTAAGGGTCTCTTATGCTTTGGCTCTCTCCCACTCTAACCTCTCTTTATTTTTTTTTCCTTCCCCTCCCCCATGGGTTCCTGTTAAGTTTCTCAGGATCCACATAAGAGTGAAAACATATGGTATCTGTCTTTCTCTGTATGGCTTATTTCACTTAGCATAACACTCTCCAGTTCCATCCATGTTGCTACAAAGGGCCGTATTTCATTCTTTCTCATTGCCACATAGCAGGGAGTGAATTTTCAAACCACATACAACCTACTCCAATTACTACCATAGCAAGCCATTTATGCTGATGTGTGACAGATCTGTGAGGTGTGTGAGGTAGGACAGAGTTTATAAAACCTGCTTTTAGAGGCACTGATAACACAATGTAATCAGTCATGTTCACAGTATAACTGCCCTTGCTGAAAAGAGTTAGAAATTCACTCCCACTTAGTTGTGCCCTAGCCTACTAATAAAAAGTGAGGGCTAGTTCAGCAGTGCCAGCACTGTGCTAGTCTTTGAAATGTAAAGAGGAATAAAGCCACGATGGAAAGTGATAACACCTTAACAGCCCCAGGTAGGTCATTTAGTACTACTTGTTTGTTCTGCATGTGTGGCTGCACTATTTATACATGAATCATGGAAACCATTGATATTTGAGAGGGAAGAAAAGTAGCCTACTCCTTATGACATTTGCTATTTGTAAAAAATAATAATAATAAAAATAAAACATAACTTAAAAGAAGTCATTAAAAATACTCTTGGTGCTTATTGTCTATTTTAAATAAAAGGTGCAAACTTAGTTTAGTAACTCTGGTCCTTGCATGAATGCTGGTTACCAACACTAAACCCTCTGTCTGGGTTCAGTGGGCTTTCTGACACCTATCAAGTATAATCACTGTTTCCTTTTTCAACTTCCCCCCAGGCGCACCCTCACACACTGCTGTTGGAAAGAATCTATGTGTTCACAGACTGCCCATCTGGATAGTCAGTAAATTATAATCCCATATCCCATCTCCAATTTTTTTTTTTTTCAACGTTTTATTTTATTTTATTTTTGGGACAGAGAGAGACAGAGCATGAACGGGGGAGGGGCAGAGAGAGAGGGAGACACAGAATCGGAAACAGGCTCCAGGCTCTGAGCCATCAGCCCAGAGCCTGACGCGGGGCTCGAACTCACAGACCGCGAGATCGTGACCTGGCTGAAGTCGGACGCTTAACCGACTGCGCCACCCAGGCGCCCCAACCCATCTCCAATTTTAAAGGGCCCTCAATTGAACATACTTGATAGCCTCTGATTTAAGAAGTTTTTCTTTTATTTCAATAGATTAAAGAACAAAAAATTGTTGTGGATGAACTTTCTAACCTGAAGAAGAACAGGGTAAGTTATTAGAGTAATTCTGAATTGTATGTGGGAGAGTTTGATTATATTAACTGTATACTAAAGTTACAAGAATTATATCTAAGATTTATATTTACATTAAAATTTGCAAGATGTCAGCATTCTTTTTAGTTACATTGCAAAAGTGAAAAGTGTCCAAGATTTTATACACATACATACTTATATGTTAATTATAGTTGATAATATTTTATTCCCATCATATACAATTCACATAACCTTTGAACTAAAAGGTACTAATTATACAATGTAATCACTAATGGTATTTATTTTATACTTGAATTTGGTGTTTTCTTTTGAAATAAATAAATAACCTTAAAATATATTTAGGAGACTATGCCTTTAAGTGAATGTGGATAGTTGTTGAAAAACAAAAAGGATAAATTGCTTCTCTCTTCCTCACATTTTTTACACAAATCTGCCAAATATTTAACATGGTTATTTAATGACAATTCCATTAATGTATCTATAAACAAGCAAGCTACTGCTTTATGTGTAGTAATACTGTCAAAAATTACATTTTAAAGTTCAGGAAGAAATTATTTTGAGCCCTTTAAAATATTTGATACTGGGGCGCCTGGGTGGCGCAGTCGGTTGAGCGTCCGACTTCAGCCAGGTCACGATCTCGCAGTCTGTGAGTTCGAGCCCCACGTCGGGCTCTGGGCTGATGGCTCGGAGCCTGGAGCCTGTTTCCGATTCTGTGTCTCCCTCTCTCTCTGCCCCTCCCCCGTTCATGCTCTGTCTCTCTCTGTCCCAAAAATAAATAAACGTTGAAAAAAAAATTTTTTAAATATTTGATACTGACAGGTTGGTTAGCCCTTTCTGATACTGTCACTTAAAGGAATTTTAGAACTTAAGTCACAACTGATACAAACTTTCTAGAGGGCAAGTTGGCAGAGTATATCAAAGCCTTAAAACTATGTAGCATTTTGACCCAGTAGTTCCCCTTATAGGAATTGATACCTATGAATCATGGGATTATACAAAGATTTAGTTACAAAGAAATTCATTACAACTTTGTTTTCTAAAGTTGGTTATACCTTCAATGTGTAAAACATGAAGACTTAACCAAATAAACTGTAATGTTATACCCATACAATAATGTTGTAAAAGAATGTTTATTGATAACAGAAACTGTTCCCAATATGTTGTTCCTTGATAAAAGCAAATAATAAATCTGTATTTATAATAAGAGCCTTTTTTGTTCAAGAAAACTGATATGGTATATACAGAAAAAACATTTCACTTCAGTGTTAATGGTAGCAATTTCTAGATGGTAGAATAATGGGTGACTTTTGTTTACCTGTAATTTGCTAAGGTATTGTTCTGAATATACGTTACTGAAGTTCAGGAATATATACTAAAAGGGTTCAGAGTTTCGACATAACACTTTTTAGATCAAATCATAATATTAGCCTAAATTATGTTTTGCAGAAAGTATATAGGCAACAACAGAACAGCAACATATTCTTTCTTGCAGACCGAACAGAAATGCTTTCTGAAAGCAAAAGTAAGTTTATTTGGTATATTATATAGAAATGCATGGAAAGTCTTTTCTAGGCTTTCTGTAGAAAATAATAGTAGTGCCTAAATTATATTGTCTATCTGAATGTTTAAATCTATATCTGAAGATTGGATGGTGATATACATATAAGTAAGATTAATGCTGTGGTTTGGGTTTCTTCAAGTTAGCCTAAGAGTGTTAGAAAGCTATAATTATTAATGTGTGCTTTAGAATTTTAGATAGATCTAGGTATGAAAATTTTCTACAACTTTCTCCTTTTATGACTTTGAGTGAATTACTTTGGGACTCAAAAGTTTTGTGGGATTTAAACAAGAAAGGGAAAAGAGAACCTGGGTGACTCATTTTGGTTAAGCATCCAACTTTGCCTCAGGTCGTGATCTCATGGCCCCTGAGTTCAAGCCTGCGTGGGGCTCTGTGCTGACATCTTGGAGCCTAGAGCCTGCTTTGGATTCTGTCTCCCTCTCTCTGTCTCTCTGCCCCTCTCCCTCACTCTCTTTCTGTCTCTCAAAAATAAATAATACATGTTAAAAAATTTTTTGATTAAAAAAATAAATAGGAAGGGATGTATAAAGTTCATAGTCCAGTGCCTAGGCCAAAGTAAGCATTTAATAAATGGAAATTATTTTTCTAAAAGTTAAACATTGTCATCAGAAGCCTGTTGTAAATGATTATTCACACTAACACAGTGCATATACTCAAGTGCTTTGATCTTGGTAAGTAGCCTATGTTGCTCTATGAATTACTAGGTGAAGGTCCAAGAATTTTTATTTTACTTGACGTATCTTCTCCCCTCCCCCCACAGATATATTGGATGAACTGAAAAAAGAATACCAAGAAATAGAAAACTCAGAGAAGACCAAAATCAAGAAATAATATTTTATTTTATCAAGAAATAACTTGATTTCACATAACAATGTGTGGCATTTGCTGTTCTGTAAGCTTTTCTGTTGAGCATTTCAGCAAAGATTTGAAAGGGGATTTACTGTATAATCTTAACCGACGGGGACCCAACAGTAGTAAACAGTTGTTAAAGTCTGATGTTAGCTACCAGTGTTTATTTTCTGGTCATGTCCTTCACTTAAGAGGTGTTTTGACTGCCCAGCCTGTGGAAGATGAAAGAGGCAATGTGTTCCTGTGGAATGGAGAAGTCTTTAGTGGCATAAAGGTTGAAGCTGAAGAAAATGATACCCAAGTAATGTTTAATTATCTTTCCTCTTGTAAGACTGAATCTGATATTTTGTCACTCTTCTCAGAAGTCCAGGGTCCTTGGTCTTTTATATATTACCAAGCATCTAGTCATCATTTATGGTTTGGTAGGGATTTTTTTGGTCGTCGTAGCTTGCTTTGGCATTTTAGTAATTTGGGCAAGAGTTTCTGCCTCTCTTCAGTTGGTGCCCAAACATCTGGAGTGGCCAACCAGTGGCAAGAAGTTCCAGCATCTGGAATTTTTAGAATTGATCTCAAGTCTCCTTCCATTTCCAAATCTGTGGTTTTAAAATTGTACCCTTGGAAATCTATTTCTAGGGAGAATGTTATCAAAGAATGTGTTAATAGCCTGACTCAAATTTCAGCAAACTTGCCAACATTTGTATCAGTGGTAGCAAATGAAGCCAAACTCTATCTTAAAGAACCTGTTGTTCCTTTAAATATGACGTTGCCACAAGCTCCATTTGAGATTTATTGCAGTAACATTGCTAGTGTCCCACCTACCAGGGAAACGCTTCAGGTCTTTCTTACTGATGGACACATGAAGGAAGTAGTTCAGCAGTTCATTGATGTCCTGAGTATCGCAGTGAAGAGACGTGTCTTATGTTTACCTAGGGGTGAAAACCTGACACAAAGTGAGGTTTTGAAAAGTTGTGATAGGAAAGCAAATGTTGCAATCCTGTTTTCTGGGGGTATTGATTCCATGGTTATTGCGGCCCTTGCTGACCATCATGTACCTTTAGATGAACCCATTGACCTTCTTAATGTGGCATTCATGACTAAAGAAAAGACCATACTTACTGGTTTTAACAAAAAGAGGAAAAAACAGAAAAACCATTGTGAAATGCCTTCTGAAGAATCCTCTAAAAATGCTGCTGTTGCTGCTGCTGCTGCTGCTGCTGGTAACGATGATGATAGTTCTGATAAACAATTCAGTGTACCAGATCGTATCTCAGGAAGAGTGGGACTGAAGGAACTACAGGCTGCTAACCCTTCCCGGACTTGGAATTTTGTTGAAATTAATGTTTCTCTGGAAGAACTGCAAGAATTAAGAAGAACTCGAATATGCCACCTGGTTCAGCCCTTGGATACAGTGTTGGACGATAGCATTGGCTGTGCAGTCTGGTTTGCTTCTAGAGGAATTGGTTGGTTAGTGACCCAGGACGAAGCAAAATCATATCAGAGCAACGCAAAGGTATGGCACAGAATGTCTACTCGAAGAATTTCTGAGATCTAATTTTTATCCTTTAAAGCTATTAGCATTTAGATTGCAAGAACATAGCGTATTTTAATTGCATTTAATCTACAATGCAACATAGAAGACTTTTATTTAAAAAAAAATTTTTTTTTAACGTTTATTTATTTTTGAGACAGAGAGAGACAGAGCATGAACAGGGGAGGAGCAGAGAGAGAGGGAGACACAGAATCTGAAACAGGCTCCAGGCTCTGAGCTGTCAGCACAGAGCCCGACGCGGTGCTCGAACTCACGGACTGTGAGATCATGACCTGAGCCGAAGTCGGATGCTTAACCGACCAAGCCACCCAGGCGCCCCTAGAAGACTTTTTTAAAAATTGGGCATATTTTTACTACTTTATGACTTGCCGTGTGTTTTTTGTCTGAAGATGTTATTTTTGAGATTATAATTTTTTAAGCTTTGCTTTTGTCTTTATCATATATCATAAAAAGGGATTTCTGTAAACCGTTACAGGTGGTTCTTACTGGAATCGGTGCTGATGAGCAACTTGCAGGTTATTCTCGTCACCGTGTCCGCTTTCAGACCCATGGAATGCAAGGATTAAATAAGGAAATCGAGATGGAACTGGGTCGAATTTCCTCTAGAAATCTTGGTCGTGATGACAGAGTTATTGGTGATCATGGAAAAGAAGCAAGGTAATTCAAATTAAGTGTTGTGGGTAATTTTGTAAACAAACAAACAAACAAAACATTAGCCTGTGGAGAATTTTAGGTTCCTTTCTTTGGAGACCACTCAAATGAGTAACAGTAGCAACAATAATATGTTGGCTTTATATTAAAACACCGTCAGTCAGAGGGAGAGTGGGGTGGGCGGGGCAGCCAGAAGAGCACTTGTTGTCCAGAGCTCATTCTGTAAGGAATGTCTTGGCATGACTGTTATTAGTACCACAGCGAAAAAGACTATAAAACCGAGGTAGTGAAATGCTGAGAGAAAGTATTTAATGGGTTTGGTTTTGTTGTAAATGTTTACTTTCCTCCCAGCAAGAGCATAGGCCCTACCCCCACGTTTTGCCCTCCAGTGTTAGAGAACCCAGCTTTGTCTCTAGGGACATATATGCATGCTCGATCCATGCTGATGTAAATGCTGGTTCCAGAACTGGATTCCCCTCTGCTATGTGTGTTTTGAACTCAGTTTGGTCATATGTTGCAGGTTACCTAAAACTTGCCAAGAGATCAAGGCATTTACATATGTATACTTTTTTTTAAATTCAGGGGTTTATTTTTACCTAACAGTATATTTATGGTGGTAGTGAACAAGTGCTTGAGAACACCTTTTTAAATTATTAAGGATAAAAAAAATGTGTTATAGTTATAAAAAGCAGAAGTTTGTTCAAGTGGGTTAATTTATTAAGTGGTAGTTTATTAAAAGGGTACAGCATGCGAGAACAGGGAGTCCGAATCAGCTTTGTGAGAACATCGTAATACACCTACTCTAACACTTCACCATTTCTTACCTCTATTTCAGTTTCTTATATATATTATATAATTTAAATATATACCACAGTATAAAAACTTTAAAAATATTTTCCTTTTGAAGGGTGTGTATATTTGAGAGAGAGCGATATTCAGTCCTTTATTTCAGGTAGGTCAGAGAAAAGGGAATTTATTTTATTTCGTAGAACAGTTAATTCTAAAGGCCCCATATGATACCCTCAGGTAAAAGTGCATATGAGGAATGTTTAAACAGCTAATAGAGAATTGTGATTTAACAAATACCCTGATAGTGGGTGGATATAAATAATTTATTACTAAATTATTATACTTTTATTTATGATTTATTTATTTATTATTTATTATGCATTTGGCATGCTGTTAATTCAGCGATCAATTGATTAGATTATGCTATATATAGATTTGCTTTTGCGATTAATTCATTTTTATAAAATATTTCATATGACGAATGCCTTACCTTTCTCTACTGGAGCTAGGATAAAATTTAATAAAACAGAAAGAAACACTACTGTAACAGTATTGCATATTAAGGAATTGGCAGGAGAGTATTAAAGTATTTTAGGGGCACCTAGATGGCTCAGTGGGTTAACCATCTAACTTTAGCTCAGGTCATGATCTCATTTCATGAGTTCCAGCCCCGTGTCAGGCTCTGTGCCGACAGCTCAAAGTCTGGGGCCTGCTTCAGATTCTGTGTCTCCCTCTCTCTGTGCCCCTCTTCCACTCATGGTCTATCTTTCTCTGTCTTTCAAAAATGAATAAATGTTAAAAAAAATTTTTTTAGAAAAAAAAAGTAAACAAAACAAAACAACACAGAATTTTCTAGGAAATCAGGGAAGCCAAAGGGCAGAAAGTTAGTTTTTTAAATCTAATACTTTATTGTGTTATACTGATTTGTCACCATTTAAATGGGTTGAATGTAATTAAATAATTTTGATACTGTAAGATTTTACCATAAGTAAACATTTCACAATTTCAGGATTATAGAGTGCTTCTATATTGATCTCATATTCATTCTCTTTTTATATGATAAAGAACAAACACAGATTGAATAATTGACCTAAGACCATACTTGTTTTCAAGGCACTGCTAAAGATTCCTTGTGAAACAATTTGAGATTATTTCTTACCATAGGCCTAATGTATTTATTTTTTCAGGCAAAATTTATTTTGTAGTATATGTATTAAAATTAGTCACATGAAACATTTGTCAGTGTGATTACATTTTAGGTGTGAAATTGTGTAAATAACCAGAATATTTTTAATTGAGAAGAATAGTGCCATGAAAAATTAATTTGATGCTATAAATTTTAACATTGAATAAAATGCAAAAGAAATAATCATAACAAATTGGGTCTTTTTATGTAGTGGTTATGTTTATCTATTTATTTTAGATTTCCTTTCCTGGATGAAAATGTCGTCTCCTTTCTAAATTCCCTACCAGTTTGGGAGAAGGCAAACTTGACTTTGCCCCGTGGAATTGGTGAAAAACTAATTTTGCGTCTTGCAGCAGTGGAACTTGGCTTAACAACCTCTCCTCTTCTGCCGAAACGGGCCATGCAGTTTGGATCCAGAATTGCAAAAATGGAAAAGAATAATGAAAAGGCATCTGATAAATGTGAAAGGCTCCAAGTCATTTCCTTAGAAAACCTTTCTATTGAAAAGGAGATTAAAACATAATATTTCACAATGTAACAACATTTACTGAATGATGATTATGTAAAAATAAAACACTCGGCTGCTTTATTATTATATAATGTAATGGTTTTAAGGTTCATTACATGAATTTATATTTAACTATATAGCTTAATATAACCAAGTTAGTCAAGTTGACGAGAAAAAGAGAATACTTGAAAGAATAGTTGGGATGTTTTAAACTGTGATATCAACATTGCTTTGAGCTCTTACATGGTAATGTCCCACCAGCAACAAAAGAAGGCAGCTTTTACTGACTCTTGTCATGGTAGCTACACCCAGAAATAACTCAATTTGTCATTGTCGTCAGGGGC